GATAAAAGGAAACTGGAAAAGGTTCAGAGACTTGCCATGGAACGTTAGTGTGTCTGGCACAATACAGGTGCAACGAGAGAGAGAGAAAGAATATATTTACTATTTATGCCTGCAGGATCGAGCTGTTAACTCTTGGACCCGACCTTTCTAACTGTCGGTTATCAAATGTGCCGACTCCGTACTTATTTTCTTCTATCATATGTACTACATGCATTTCTCTTTCACACACGCACATTCCCAGGATACAGCATGTAGTAGCTATCTATTTACTGCTAGGTAAACAGATGCATCAGGTGGAAGAAACGACCCATTTGTTTCTGCCGCGGCCGGAAATCGAATCCATGATCTTTAGGCTACGACTCACAAACGCTGTCCGCTCAACCGCGAGGACACGTGTGCGTATGTGTCTCTGAGTGCGTAGAGATGTCTGTATGTGGTGATGCCTCATGATATGACCTGGTGAGCAGTAGGGACGGGAAGAGGATGATACAGCTAAGTGTACGCCGGAGTCTCCACCCTTATATATCGCTGCGGTTAACACTGCAAACGTTCCACTTATGACCCGCTGTGATTACTAGTTTGGAAAGTTTGTCTAAATTTAATATATAGTTTTTTCGGTTCTTCAATTTTACGGTGTTAGTTTAGGGTGTCAGCGCACAGAGGAAAATACATTGTTAAAGATATTGTTATTCTGCGTAATATACCATATTTTTATTTACTGATATGTGTGATATACTGTATGTAGGAAGTGAAGCGTTATCTGTAGCATTTTAGAAAATGAGCGATACATTGCAGGTTAGTATAATATAGAACGAGTATGCTTTGAATGTTTATCAAGTAGCTGCATATAGTGGTTTTTCAAGTTCCTACTAAGTGACTGACTAGTGACAAACCTAGTAGCCTAACTTATTGACAAACGCAACTTATGGCAACTTATTGACTAACGTTATCAAATCTGGTGATAGTGGTCCCCACTAATTTAGCCCTTAGTGTAAACAAATAGTACATACAGGTTTCTACACCCACTAGTTTATAAAGATACACATCTGCGCTAAATGACATTTAAAACACCAATACGTGTTAATGGAAGGGAATGCGATTGCTGTGTTAGTAATGGTCTGCTGCAGTCGGTACATGACTTTGTTTAAAAGTAAACCAAGCCTTTCCGCGTTCCATGAATTTTAAGTTTACACCAGCAGGATGATATATTTATTCAACTATATCTACATAATGTATATTATATAAATATTGGTGGAGTGGTTTTAACATCAGACGGCAATCTAGTGCCCCTGATTTTAAATCTTGAAAATTACGATGATTGTATGAAATCTGGATTGTAACTGGAATTATTACTTGTCACTGGCGGATTATGGTAGAGACAGCACATGTACTTTATTAATTACAAATATAAGGGTACAGTGTTTGCAATGGTTTTATATTATGTATAGTGTTCAATATGTTTTTATGAAGTGTAGTGTGCAGTGAAATGGTTTCTAATGAAGCATGCTGTGCAGTGCAAAAGCTACTTATACAATGTAAAGAACAGTGTATATATTAGTTTCTGATATAATGATAGGTAATGTAATGTTTTCATATATAATAAGGGTAGAGCGCAAAGGTTTCTTATATAATGAGATGTAAAGTGCAATGGCTTCTTATATATTACAGGGGTGGAGAGCAGTGCACAGTTACACAAATAGCTATGAAACAGAAGAAAACAGTAACTCGGGAAACAAGTTACAAAACAGCCACGTTCATCTTGAACATGCTAAATGTGAAAGCTGCTTATTGGTTCGAGACTAAATGGAAAGCGTATGTCACTGTAAATGACCTATTTAGGAAGAAGCATCTCTGTTCGCTATACCGGAAAAATTACGAGTTTAGCGAGTCAATCAAAGCAAATATTCTTCAAGAAGAATATCGTATGAGAGACGGCACTCAGCTGGCTGCCTGGAAAAGGAGCTGTTGGCTCTACCAGAACAAGTCCACTACGAGCTCAACATAGCCCGTGCTACTTGGAAATTTTGTTCCAAGTAGCTAAATCTAAAACATCAACCGGAACAACTTTACTCTATATTTTAGTCCTAGCCTAAAGTATTCTTGCTCTTTGGTCAGTAAGCTGTTGTTGTTGCTGCCTTAATAACCTCACATAGCTTGAAAGGCGTTAAGCTCAACTCCAAACCAATCTTCCAGACAAATGATATATTTAGGAAACCTACTATTACCTGTATTACGTAACTCTTATACAGTGTTATGGTTTACGGATAAATACACTTACTGTAAGTGTCTTCCAAATAATGCACTTAAGTGTCTTCCATGATATACTTGATGGTTTTAACGAGTGAGAAAATCGTTGTCTCAGTTCATGTTTTTTTCCTGCTCTTAATAATGTTATGAAATTTGAGTTACAGTATACATTAATGTTGAGGTGTATGTTATAAGTATGGGAGTTATCTGCATGAACGTTGTATGTGACTGTGTTGTATGTATTTACGTATTGATGTTAAATGTATGGTCAATGCAGGAGCCAATGTATGTGATCGTTGTATGAGCAGATGTTGTATATGTAAACGTTGCATCAGCGAATGTTTTGAGTGTGTGTGTGAGAGAGAGAGAGACTATTGTATGATTGAACGTTATACGTGTGAGTATTGTATGAGTCGGTGTTGCATGTGCGTACTGTATGTGTATGAAACACACATAATACACGTTGGCTTCATTTCCCACTCACAATCGAGAGCTTAAAGAATACTCAAAGAAAGTAATAATATAAAAATATGTCCTTTCAGGTTATGTGTCACACATTAGTGTAAGTATAATTATATTAATGTTTTTGAGTCATTTTGGTTATTTAAACTACAGGAGAGATTACATTTTGAATATAGCTGCAATTTATTTAAATAAATTTCAAAACTGCTTGTGTGTTAAAATTTTAAACTATTTTTATATTCAATTATATATTTCCAAAATTACAACAGGTGCAATTAAATTATAGTTTAATATCGAATACACGTGGCACCTAAAGAAAATTAAATCTGATCTTCTTTTATGTAGTTATACACGAGACCATAGTTAAATGTTTATGCCACTTCAGAATGAGCACTGAACACATACGTTTGTAATATATTGTTTAAACTAGTTCGCACACTCTCCCTTCCTTTGCACGTTCACAACACTGGCACAAGAAGCACTGACAACTCTTTAAACGCGCTCTCTGCTTGCTAAAAGCAAAAATCCTAGTTCCGTTTTCTTTCAGCGTCTGCCAGTTAAACAAATTAATTTATTGAATAACTGGCAGTAGGCTATATATCCTACTCCCTCGTGAATTTAACTTTAAATTGTTGAGTTAACTTTAATAAACAGCTGGTCATTGTTATACAAAATTATATTTTTCGTTAATATGCTACCAAATTAATTTTCTTAGTTGCGTTTAGAGAAAATGCGACGCTGCACATTTAAAAGGTAGACTACGTCAAAAGACAGGTTGGCTGACTTTTTAGCATTCATGTATTTTAATGTCGGCGAAGGAGCTAAAATTATGTTGACCAGACCACACACTAGAAAGCGAAGGGACGATGACGTTTCGGTCCGTCCTGGACCATTCTCAAATCGATGACTTGACTTCATCGACTTGAGAATGGTCCTGGACGGACCGAAACGTCGTCGTCACTTCACTTTCTAGTGTGTGGCCTGATCAACATACTTCAGATTGAAGTATATATATGCAAGTTTAATAATTAAGCTAGTTTATATATTTATTTATTTATATATTCAAGAGTTCTTACATTCTTGTAAATCCACCAGCACACATAGGGCTTAGGCCAGGTCCTTAATCCCAATTTTCCTTGGAATACGACCCACCAATTAGTTTAACATCCAGGTACCCATTCACTGCTGTGTGAACAGAGGCTATTGTTAAGGATTGGCGCCCTGTCAATCCTCCCCAGCCAGAAAATTAACCCAGGCCAAAGTGATCGCGATGCGCCGGGCGAGTGTCTTACCACTGCACCACAGAGACTGAAAGTTAAGTTGTTAATTGCAGCCTTAATTCACCATTCTCGTGGTTGACAGTAACTTCACAGATCACATGCCTTACAATGACTCTCGCGATTGATAGCCCTTATGTACTGACTCATTGTTGATAGGCCTTATAATGACCCCCGTGGGGTGTCAATAGGCTTCAAGTACAAAACTTGACCAAGCCCTTATTAACTAACATTGTCATCTGTCATTAGAAGTTATTTCTGCTTCCCTCAGTAATTCTTTGTAATTTATTATAGTTTTATGAATGTAATTCATTATTGTTATCCTAAATCTTTCCAAATCTAAATTCATCTTAAACGTTTAGCGGATAGTGTAGGGTCTCTATACTCAGGCGTATGCTAGGGAGCTCTGCATGGGTGTATATTATTGGGTTCTACATGAGCGTACACTAGGAGCTCAACATGAGTGTATACTATACGGGCTCTAACGTGAATTCATATTATACGGACTCTACGTGAGTGTATACTTGGGACTTTACATGAGCATATGCTACAGAGTATATGACCATATACTATGGGCTCTATAAGCACGTATAGTAGGGTTTCTAAGAAATCATACTTCCCCTCATTATTCATATTGATTTTTTCTAAATTGTCTTTTAAACTGTTCAAAAATCAATCTTATAATTTTATTGCACCTATTTTCGGAACAAAATAGTTAAAGAACGAAATGGAGTGAACTCATGAAGCAAACTTTCTGATGTAATCATTGATATTATTTGTGCTGGATATAGTTAAGTTGTTAACCCAGACGTTTTGAAGCCGGTTTTAAACCGTATCAGGAATGGTATCTCTCATATCAGTGCTGGTATCAGTGTTCCGGAGGACGTGTGTATTCACCTAGATGAACTTGCAGGGTCGAGCTAGGCTCCCAGCCTAATGTGAGTGTGTGTGTGTGAGTGCGTTCCTAGTTATAACTATTTTTTTTAATTGTAAGGTATAACTAACAAAGGCTTGTGAGCAATATCACTTTATTTATAGTTTTAACTTAGATACACTGCTGGCACTGTCAATTTGACAATAAAGAGAGCGTAAGATAACATCATTATTTCCTAAATACTAGAATTTCTAGTAATACAGGTCGCTATGTAAGATAAGTTAATTATTCAAATCTGTTAGACTCAAATTAAATAGCTGTACAGTTTTTCTTTAACTAGTATGCAATATATAGTCAATTCAGTACTAATAATATAAAACCAGAACATATATGTATTTGGTACTATGCCTTTCGTTATTTACAGTGATAATATAATATTTTAATTTTTCTCTTTCTTATTGGTAGGTAAACTTAGGTTTTGCCTGCTGACATTAGCTTGGGATTACATGAGGTTATACTCGCATGTTGGAAAGCTTTCTCACATAACAATCCAGATCTCTTTCCATTTATTTAACTTTATCCACTTATATTAAGATTTAATCTTAATCTTTCATTGAATTGCAAATCCAGATGGTATTTTTTCCTTTCTCATTGAAAAGCTTCAATGACAGTCCTGTAAAAGCATCTCCCACGAGAGCTTCTTAAATTCCTATCAAAGTCTACAAAGGGACGGCCTATAATCTATCTCAGACCTCTATTTAGGGCCGGACATCATGTGGATGAACTGTTCGTATTGGATGTGCCCTTCCCCGTCGATATCTGCCTCGTGAATCATTATGTCGACTTCCTCTTGCGAGAGCTTCTCCCCCATGGTCATGAGGACGTGCTTCAGCTCCGAAACCGATATGTATCCGTTGCCGTCCTTGTCGAACACCCCAAATGCCTCGCGGATCTCTTCAGGGGACTCGACAGGGAAGTCCTTGCTTAGTAGCGACTGGGGAGAGGAGAATACATAAGCTATATACACGTAACAGAAAGTGTTAGATCAATGATTCTAGCTCGAATCTTATAGTGTTTCACCGATGTCTACATATGAAACAATCTTAACCAACTATTAATTAACAATCATCACACATTCCGTTACTGTCTACCATCCTCTAGACCAAGATATAGTTTCCATCACACACTCCCCCAACCATCATAAGAATAATGAGTTAGCGACTGCAATATTTTAGAAACTTAATATTCCACATAAGTATTTAAGGCAAAATAATACTGACACAAAATGGATAAACATTAGGATTGCTAGGCTATTATTAGAAATGGGAGGATACGCTTATGGTTATCAAATATTGAAAAGAATATCTAAAATACATCTTTACGCAAATGGCAAGAATAGTAAAGTAAATTCATAAAAGGGTTATTACATATTGATGTATCAACCCAGGCTTACAGAAAGGATTGGATCACTAAAAACAGGTAATCTAACATATAATTAAAAATAAATATTTATAATAATTGTTTGTTCATGGTATGTGTTGTTTTTGTTGTTGATAATGATCTGGGAATTTTACAGATAGGAATACTGGTAATTATATTTTATGGTTGTGTCAGATAAACCATTGTTGAAGAATATCGGTCTGGCTATTGCAGTTTAAAACTCAACCTAACCTATAGTTAGAAAAGCGCATGTAAAAGAACACCATAGCTTAATTATCCACAGCCAGTAACTAGAAAAGCACAAAATTATTAAAACACAAATAAGAGGAATTAATTGGGAATGAAGACAAAGTAGCCATTCGTACAATTCACCGCTTTTTCACTTACTGCCAGAACTTTCAGTGCTTAACCAGACTGACAGCTGTGCACACCATCCCCCGTCTTGTTACATCCCTTGTTCTTACACATTGGGAAATTTTGTGGGAGCAGTTGTGCCTGACACGACTACCCCCCAACTCCTCCCCATTTCCATGTGCTATTCTCCTTCTGAAGTGGACACAGACTAAAAGCGTTTTAAACCTTCTAAACCCACTGGAATCCTCTTGATAAGCCATATCCTACTGCGGCAAGTAGTAATGCTTCAATTGGTTGAAGAATTTGGCCAAGACTGTTACATACATATTAACATACGATCTGTGAACAGGTCCCGCCGTGTATTAATTTTGTACCACATTATATTTATATGGCTCCATCGACCTCATAATTATAGGACTCTAATTTTTACTCTAATCTAAACTCGCCTGAATCATTTTAGTCTAATCAGAATCATCCGCATTTCCGCTACCCATGCAATTTAATTTGACAGTAATCTAACTCACATCACTAATCCTTGTGGTGATTCTATATAACATGTCGTCAGACTACTTAGCTAATATCCCCGGCCTCTACCCAACCTTACAAAACTCGGCCTTTGTTGTGTATACGGTAAAATAAGACTCATAAATGCTTTTCCAGCAGAACAAACCATAAATGTTTCGAAGTTGACAAAAGGCGGAGAGCCGATTTCCTGGATCACTTTCGCAATCTCAGAGTTGGAAGGATTGATGCCAAGAGATCGAAGTGCATTGCCCACATCTCTTATGGGGATCCGCCCTTCCCGACCGTATATGGAGAAGCATTCTTTGGCCTCGGATATTTGAGCTGGGGTCAACTGCCGTGGCATACCTGAAGGAAAATGGTCCAACTGGTCATTATTCATGACTGCAATACAAATTGATTTTTAAAATGGGTTTTGCATCCTTCTACTAAACGTAAACATGTTTAAGGGTAATCCTAATAATAATGCATATTTTATATGCAGACTTTTCAGTGTGTTTAATCTCTGTGTATGGTATAATTTAAAAAATCACGTCTCATTCAGCCTTTCCATAACTCCCTCCCCCAAAAAAATCACTAAACCAAAGATGCTACATGTGATTGTCAGAAGTTTGTTCTCTTGGCATGAACACCAATTTCGACGTCTATATCATCCAAAATAAACAAAAATATGGAACTCCTTTTGGTAATAGGCTGGTAACCAAAACATATATACAATAGTCACTTCAAAAATTCAAACGTTTTGTAAATGATAGGCTAATAACAAAATTATATTCAATAAATTTCAATACATTCGCACTTTTATAATGATACTTGTACATTATTTTTTATTTTTATTATTATTGGAAAAATGAATCAGTCTCAGTTTTTTTCTTATTTGTAACTAGACCAACAAAAATGAAAAGCTGAAATGATAGGCTATGATCTAGGCGTCTCCTAGTATTCACGGATTACTATCAATAACTCGACTTGCAAATATTAGATTCAAATCGTCTCACAACATGCAGGACTGTTCTAACAGCATTGCAGATCCTGGGCAAAACAATGGACTGGGGACCTCCCACCAAAATAATGGCCACTTGAACCCCCATTCTAGCTGACTGGTTTCAATTAAACTGAACAAGCAATCGCCATATGTTGCCACTTGGCAGAAAATTCAGCAGCGACGTTAAGCTGTGCCAGTCAGCTAGGCTTAAAAAAATCTCCTCGGGACTCGTGAGTCAAATAAATGTTACTTATGTGTTGATGTCATTTTGCAGCTAGTTAAACACACAGTCTATATTTGTGCAAGATAATGAACGATATGATCAAGTCTGAAGGGAGATTAAGACGTGGAATTAATATCGCGTTCACAATTTGTCTTCATTCAGGATAGTCTCATTTTCACTTCATCTTGCAATGGCGACTTTTCTCAAAAAAATGGCATACCTTGTCCATGCTGTGTCATGCCTCTCCAATTCTGTGGTATACTTTTCTCTTAGTGTTACATGTATTACCATGTCGTGACATAACAAAAATGTGCTGCGGCATGACTTTTTTCTTCCTGCGGTATGCCTTTTGCTGTTATGGTATTCCTTAAAAGCGTCTTGACATACATTTATCTTGATATGGTATGTAATTCCTTGCTATGACAAGCTTTCCACGTGCTGAGGCATGCATAATCCGTGCCTTGGCATGCATAATTCGTGCCATGGCATGTCTTTCCCTGCCACAGCATGCCTTTCCCTGGTCTGGCATCCCTTCCCCTGGTCTGGCATCCCTTCCACATACTGAGGCATGCATAACCAGTCATGGCATATTTTCCCCTGCCACATTATGCCATTCCCTGCTCTGGCATCCCTTCCACGTGCTGTTGCATGCATAATCCGTGCCATGGCATGTTTTTCGCCTGCCACAGCGTTCCTTTCCCTGCTCTAGCATCCCTTCCACGTGCTGTGGCATGCATAACCCGTGCCATGGCATGTCTTCCCCTGCCACAACATGCCCTTCCCTTCCATGTGATGTGACATACATAACCATTGCTATAACTTATCTTCCCCTGCCACAGCATGCCTTTCCATGCTCTGGCGTACTTTCCACGTGCTGTGGCATGCATAAACCGTGCCATGGCATGCCTTTCCCTGCCACACCATGCATTTCTTGCTCTGACATCCTTTCCACGTGCTGTGGCATGCCTAACCCGTGCCATGGTATGTCTTCTCCTGCCACAGCATGCCCTTCCCTGCTCTGGCACTTTTTCCACGCATTGTGGCATGCATAACCATTGAAATGACATATCTTTCCTTGCCACAGCATGCCTTTCCCAGCTCAGGCGTACTTTCCACGTGGTGAGGCATGCATAACCCGTGCAATGATATAGTTCCACTTGATGTGGCAACATCTTTTAAAAATATAATGGCAAGATCAGTCAAATTATATTGCAGAAATGGATGTAACCTAGGCCTATTTAGACAAAAATAGCAGCAACCTAGTCATGATGGTGTTTTTGTGTCATAGTAACAAACATCCGTAGCATAAAGTGAAATAGTCACGGAAATTATGACATTTGGTAAAACGTGAATTAGCTTTTTGCATCTCACATATATTTCAGTTTAAAAAAAAAATAAAAAGTATTTTGCCACAGAACTCATGACATGTTCACGTTATTTATTCTGACAACTTTGAAAAATAAATTCATATTTTTTAGACAATTGTTTGTAGAGATATGTGAGGAAAGACAGGTGTTTGGACACTGCGGGCGGGCGGAAAAAATGGGCGGGAAAATGGGCGGGAAGTATAAAAGGCGTGTGCGGCGCCCCGCCGTCAGTCCACCTTGATCTTCAACAGAGGTAGGTCGTGCTGCTCGGACCTCTGGTCATTGTCATTTTTTTTTTTACCGTGATTTCTTTTATTTTTTATGTTTAATGTTTATGTATGGTGTCGTGAATTGTAGTTATGCCAAGAAGGATAATTTAATGTGTTTCTGAGGGTTATATGTGGAAAAATCAATATTAACTAGGGTGATCTGATTTAGTTAGGCTTATTCGTTGGTATATGGAATATTTAGGCAATGCCCCCCTCTGTCATCCTCATCGTCACCCCCCCCTTTCGTCACCCCCTTTGCGTCACCCCCCCCCTTGCGTCACCCCCCCCTTACGTCACCCCCGCCTTGCATCCCCCTCTTGCGTCACCCCCGCCTTGCATCCCCCTCTTGCGTCACCCCCGCCTTGCATCCCCCTCTTGCGTCACCCTCGCCTTGCGTCACCCCCCCTTGCGTCACCCCCGCCATGCATCCCCCTCTTGCGTCACCCCCGCCTTGCGCCTCATCCCCTCTCGCCTGCATCACCCCCCCCTTTCCCGCCTGCATCACCCCCCCCTCCCGCCTGCATCACCCCCCCTCCGCCTGCATCACCCCCCCTCCCGCCTGCATCACCCCCCCCTTTCCCGCCTGCATCACCCCCCCCTTCCCGCCTGCATCACCCCCCCCTTCCCGCCTGCATCACCCCCCCCCCCGCCTCCCGCCTGCATCACCCCCCCCCCTCCCGCCTGCATCACCCCCCCCTCCCGCCTGCATCACCCCCCCTCTCCCGCCTGCATCACCCCCCCTTCCCGCCTGCATCACCACCCCCCCCCACCCCCCCCCTCCTGCATCACCCCCCCCCCTCCCGCCTGCATCACCCCCCCCCTTCCCGCCTGCATCACCCCCCCCCCCCCCTCCCGCCTGCATCACCCCCCCCCCTCCCGCCTGCATCACCCCCCCCCCCGCCTGCATCACCCCCCCCCCTTCCCGCCTGCATCACCCCCCCCTTTCCGCCTGCATCACCCCCCCCCGCCTGCATCCCGCCTGCATCACCCCCCCTTTCCCGCCTGCATCACCCCCCCGCCTGCATCCCCCCGCCTGCATGCACCCCCCCCCTCCCGCCTGCATCACCCCCCCCCCGTCCCGCCTGCATCACCCCCCCCCTCCCGCCTGCATCACCCCCCCCCTTCCCGCCTGCATCACCCCCCCTCTCCCGCCTGCATCACCCCCCCCTCCCGCCTGCATCACCCCCCCCTTTCCCGCCTGCATCACCCCCCCTCCCGCCTGCATCACCCCCCCTCCCGCCTGCATCACCCCCCCTCTCCCCGCCTGCATCACCCCCCCCCCTCCCGCCTGCATCACCCCCCCTCTCCCGCCTGCATCACCCCCCCTCCCGCCTGCATCACCCCCCCCTCCCCCGCCTGCATCACCCCCCCCCCCCGCCTGCATCACCCCCCCTTTCCCGCCTGCATCACCCCCCCCCTTTCCCGCCTGCATCACCCCCCCTCTTTCCCCGCCTGCATCACCCCCCCCCCTTCCCGCCTGCATCACCCCCCCCCCTCTTTCCCGCCTGCATCACCCCCCCTCTCCCGCCTGCATCACCCCCCCCCCTCCCGCCTGCATCACCCCCCCTCTCCCGCCTGCATCACCCCCCCTCTCCCGCCTGCATCACCCCCCCCTCCCGCCTGCATCACCCCCCCTTTCCCGCCTGCATCACCCCCCCTCTTCCCGCCTGCATCACCCCCCCTCCCGCCTGCATCACCCCCCCTCCCCGCCTGCATCACCCCCCTTTCCCGCCTGCATCACCCCCCCTCTCCCGCCTGCATCACCCCCCCCTCTCCCGCCTGCATCACCCCCCCTTTCCCGCCTGCATCACCCCCCCGCCTCTCCCGCCTGCATCACCCCCCCCCTTTCCCCGCCTGCATCACCCCCCCCCCCCGCCTGCATCCCGCCTGCATCATCCCCCCCCCCCCCCCCCGCCTGCATCACCCCCCCCTCTCCCGCCTGCATCACCCCCCCCCTCCCGCCTGCATCACCCCCCTCTCCCGCCTGCATCACCCCCCCTCTCCCGCCTGCATCACCCCCCCCCCCTCTCCCGCCTGCATCACCCCCCCCTCTCCCGCCTGCATCACCCCCCCTTTCCCGCCTGCATCACCCCCCCCCTCTCCCGCCTGCATCACCCCCCCCCCTCTCCCGCCTGCATCACCCCCCTCCCCGCCTGCATCACCCCCCTTCCCCCTGCCTCATCACCCCCCCCGCCTGCCCCCCCTGCCTCATCCCCCCCCCTCTCCCGCCTGCATCCCCCCCCCCTCCCGCCTGCATCACCCCCCCCTCTCCCGCCTGCATCACCCCCCCCCTCTCCCGCCTGCATCACCCCCCCTCTCCCGCCTGCATCACCCCCCCTCTCCCGCCTGCATCACCCCCCCCCCCCGCCTGCATCATCACCCCCCTTTTCCCGCCTGCATCACCCCCCCCCTCACCCGCCTGCATCACCCCCCCTTTCCCGCCTGCATCACCCCCCCCCTGCCTGCATCACCCCCCCTCTCCCGCCTGCATCACCCCCCCTCTC